GAGGATGCTCTTGGAAGGAAATGGCAATGTTCTACTGTGCAGGTAAATTATATATTTTTATGGGATAAAAGGTACTCAAATGTGTAAATGGCATTGAAGGTCACCAAACTTGTATTGTACGTGCAAAAAGGTCACCGTTCTTCAAAATTAAACTAATCCATGACTAAACTTTCTAACTGGATGGTCTAAAATCACCAATAATGTACCACCATCCAATAACGCTCACATGGAAATTATAGTGAAGAATGCGGTATAATAATTTTTAAAAAAGTCTTCCAACATCCTTTAATCCATATGTTACTTATAATTTGCCCTAACATCCTTTTTTTTACGTTAAAAAAAATTGCCCTAACTTTCTACACGGTAGTATACTAGTTTTCACCCACCCAATGCAAATTGCTCTGCCAGCCACCTTATGGCTAGTGTGCTGCTGCCAGATAAATACATGTTGTTGTGCCCTAAATCGACACGAGAATGAGATGGATTATGAATAAACTCTAGGAGTCTAGGTTGAGACTGATGTCTCTATACTAAATAAACGGAGTATACATATGGTCTTCAGTAATCTGTTCAGAGCAAGGGGGGGCAGCTGCCCAGCTTCGCCTCCATGAAGCTCCGCCAGCGCTGCCCAGCACTGGAGTTGAATATCTAAGTACATGAATTAGTTTGTGAACATATTAATTCTAATATGACTAGCATGCAGGGGTTCAATGCAAAGGTCAAACTATTGGCACACCACTCTAATCTGAACCCATTGCCATGTTGAACAAAACTTGGAGTCCATGCTAGCGTGATTAGACAAGTTGCCACATAAGTCACCTCAGGTGATCCACTTTGAAAGTTTAGTGATGAATCAGTCCCATTTTAAAGGTTGGCGATTTATTTGCATGTACGCCACAAGCTCAATGTCCTCTAACGCTATTTACTCTACTCAAATTGTTCGAAGAGAAAATAGGATACACTAACGCTCCATTTTCTTATATGTTATAGGTGGATTTCAATTTGCCTGAACGGTTCGACATTACCTATGTTGATTCAAATTCTGAGAAAAAGCGACCCATCATGATTCATAGAGCTATCCTTGGGTCTTTGGAGCGCTTCTTTGGTGTCCTGATTGAACACTATGCTGGTGATTTTCCGCTTTGGCTTGCCCCAACCCAAGCACGTATTCTACCTGTGACAGACAATGAGGTTTGATTCATTTGCTTTGCATTATCGTTAACCATAGGTTGTTAAAATTGAAAGCATATGTTCACTGACATTCTGGATTATCTGGTTCTCTTTCGATTGAAGAGTTGTTTATAGTTCAGATAGATGTTTGCCTTAGTATTATTTATGAAACCATGACATCTTGATTTGTATTTTCAGTTGCAATACTGTAACGAGGTGGCCTCAGAACTGAAATCAAGAGGGTTACGTGTTGAAGTCTGTCATGGAGAGCGCCTACCAAAGCTAATAAGGAATGCTGAAACACAAAAGGTGCCACTCATGGCAGTTGTTGGTCCTAAAGAAGTTCAAGCCAGGACCCTGACTATCAGGTCCAGGCACAATGGGGAGATCGGCACGGTGCCCGTTGATGAATTCATCACCAGGCTTCAACTTGCCGTTGTAAACAAATCATCATTATAGAACCGATGATCCGCTAAATTTCAGTCCAGAATGTAGAACATTAGATCCTCTGCACATAGATCTGTTCCCTCAAAGTAAATAGCAGCTGAGGTCTGCAGGAGCAGATCCAATATTTTTTGTGCATAGTTCACAGTTGTCATCAGTCATCACAGGTCACAGCATCTCTCTTACCCCCTAAGGAAAATCCCACATACTACTCTGTACATTTTGGCTGAAGGGATGCTTTTAGTTAACCACGTCCAGACCATGATCATTGCCATTAGTACCAATGCTTTATCCGCCTCCATACGACATGCAGTTTTTTTTACAGCTCAGCCATCCTCGTTAAGGATTCACCATTTCAAAGGCCTATATGTTTTACATCGAAAGTGTGCGACATGAGACGGTGGAGCAATTATGCCTGGAGTATGCATCATATATTCGTACTACAAAATGCAGTGGCTGTTTTGGATTGATGCAAAACATCTCCACTAATGTGTGTTTTGTTCATCCTTAGCCTCATCATATCCTGGAGCATACTTAAGTTGGTCGTGAGATCGATGTCCGAACCAACCAATCTTTGTGGGTGCAACTCGGGGAATATGTGGGTCAGCTACAGCTTGGGTGCAACTCGGGGAATACGTGGGTCAGCTACAGCTTAGACGGTCTCCAACAGATGACTCATACGGATCAGCTACAGCTTATCGACGACTTTATTTTATGTTCTCCAACAAATAGATGACTCGCGGAGACTACGGATATCCAAAGGATTATCAATGGAGAAGACTAAAAATGGATATTGAATTCTTCCTGCAGCGATACCCAAACGTAGAATGGGTCTTGTATTTTGGGTGATGTTGTTGGAGATAATCTTATAAAACAGAGAGAATCTCAAAAGCTTGTATTATTCAGATAGTGTTAGAAAACCTAAAATCCATGTCACAACCTATGGGCATATCTTGTAGCTGAAGGAACCTGGAACCCTGTTAAGCTCAAATAGTGCTCACCACCAATCTTTTTCAATATGAAGGAATGTGATTCTTCATGTCAACCTGAATTTTTTATAATAGGATTAACATTAGTTTTTGTCTGTAGTGCACGGTTAACTTTTTGTCATAGGCCGAAAATTAAAGAGAAGTGTTCAGGGGTTAAATAAAGACAAGGTACTCAATGTCCATCCGTTCAGAGCTCATACATTTGAAGTTCAACTTTTGTTCAACTATCGGTGAGCAAACTTATTCATAACAATTTTTCAACTTCTTTTATAAACAAGACTTTACATAATAAATTACTCAAATAACATAACTTATTTACAAAAGTTATTGTTGTCCAACTTCTTTTGAAAAAATATACATACAATTTATCGAACACAAATTTTTATGTAATTTATTTTGATCAAATTTCTCAATATACAATACAAAAAAGGAAAAAGAAAAGGGCAAGAAAAAGCAAAAGGAGAAACGGAACTGAGAAAATAAAATCTGATAGAGAAACAAAATAAAAGGAAAAATGAAAATTGAACAGACGTCAACCCATGAAAATGGCCATGGATAAATCGTTCCAAGCACAAGCTAAGACAAATAGAGAAAAAAAATACCAAGCTACAGGAGAAGCGGTAGATATGGAAAGATAAAATGATCATCTACTGTTGGTCATATACACGTGAAAGTGAAAGAAAAATTAAAAAAATACATATATGTAAATACCACAACAAAAAATCTTTTGATCGTCAGTTAAACACAAATCAGAGAACAGAAACCACATTAGTCGGACAACCGGGGCTAATCACCGCAAGACTCAAGTGGCTTGAAGCATGGAATCACCACATGGTGTCCGCAGATTGCAGACACATCCGCTCCCCACGAACACTCGCCAAACTGAATTTTACGAATCACATAACTTATACACATACGTTTTTGTTGTCTAACAAAATTTCTAGATCTGATTTTATTCATAGTATGAAGAAGAAAAATTGATAAGTTAATATAAAAAATTTAAAAATGGAGAAAAAAAAGAACAAAATGAAAACTGCATGGACGTGGACGACTTGCTCCAAAGTCTAAACAGGACACTGCTGCAGAGGAAAAAAGGAAAAAGATAAAGTGAGCTCTATGGGGGACCGTTGGGGTTATCCGATTGCAAACGGATCCACCCACAAAAAATACATGTGGTCTGTGTTACTGGAGATTGACCGCTGGATTCGAGAAAATTGTTTCTATGATCGAACAAACCAAATTGGTTCATGGCTGCGCATCTTTCTCCTCATCAAATGATGCTCGACAACTTCTCAAGCTGTCGGTGATTGCGATGAGTACACAAAAGAACTTTACATCAAATAATTTAACCTATGGAATTTTCGGTCGGTTTGCTTGATTGAACCAAAAGCATGGACAGGTCCAACGAAGACCAGCGATTATCAAGGTAAAGGCAAAGCTGCTCTGAGTCTGGCCGGATCTGGCCTATATGGGTGCGTTTGATTTCATGTCTAATTTGTATCCTGGCTATAATTTTAGCCTGGACAGACTTAGCCTGCCTCCACCAAGCTAATCCTTGATTGTTTAGTTGTCTGTACTGTCTAAACCTGATCAGCCCAACAAAGTGTTTGGTTGCCTAGTTTATTTTGATACAGTTACCTCGGAAAGTTTACCTCCTTTCGGGTATTTCGTCGAACATGTCCTAGGCAAGCAACAGCAGGGCGAACGCGCCACTACGGCGGAGCAGGGTGAACACGCATTCACAGCAGGGCGAGCACGGCACGGACGCATTCACAGCAGGTCGAGCACAGCAGGACCGCATTCACGGCAGCTAGCACGGACGCATTCACAGCAGGTCGAGCACAGCAGGACCGCATTCACGGCAGCTAGCACGGACGCATTAGCAGGTCGTCTCCGCGGCTCGATGCGCTACGACCGCGCTTCCTCCGGTGGAGCAGAGAGAGCGGAGGAGACCGGTGGAGCGGGAGGAAGCTCAGGACCTCGCCGGCCGCGCCCGTGCAGCCTCGTCGGTGGAGACGGACGCACTCGCTGGTGAGGCACGCCGTGCAGCCGAAGCCATCCTCACCACCCAGGACCCCATCGGTGCGCCTCCCCGCTGCTCCATCACTGTCGCCGTCGTTTTCACTATTCCTGACGGTGGGGCGGAGCGAAGCCGTGAGGGCCGCGGCGGCGGCGGCGTTGGGTGGCGAGGTGTCGCGCGTTAGGTGTCGGTGCCGCCGAACTTCGAACGTATCCTGGTGAGGCCGCCGCGGCCCTCACGGCTTCGCTCCGCCTCTTCCGTACCCGCCGCCGCATGGGGGTGGCCAACAGGGAGGGCCGCCGGATCTACAGCGAAGGAGGAGGTGCTCCGCCGAGGCCTCCACGGCGACCACGGCCCCGAGCTTCCCCTTGGTCGCCATGGCCGGATCTGCAGCGGCGAGTGGCGGGGACGAGCAGGGGACCACCACAGCAGAGTACCGGCGGGGAGGAGCAGCAGAGCAAGCGGAGGTGACGGGAGTGAAGACCGGGCGGTGACGAGAAAGGAGCAGCGAGCTGGCTCGGGCCTGGCTCGAGGAGAACGGCCGATTTGAACGTTGAATCCTGGCCAGGCCTCAGCAGTACGGATGGCCAGTGTAGCCTGGCTCCAACCCACTTCAAGGGCGCGTTTAGTTCGGCAAATAGCCCGTTCGCTCGTTGGTTTCAGGTCAACTCAAATCAGTCATCTAACAGTGTTTTTTTTTTAAAAAAATTTAGCATCAGCCAACTCAAACCAGCACCAGCATCAACTAGCGAACAGGCCCAAAGATGACACCTGTAAACTTTGCATAGTGCATGATTCTCCACTATAGCATTTCGTTTGTATTTGTAAATTATTATCAAACATTGACTAATTAGGTTCAAAAAATTTATCTCACAAAGTTAAAGTAAACTATGCAATTAATTTTAAAAATCTTCTTTTTATATGATGCACTTTTAGAAAACTAAACAAGAGCCAAATAGACTAGAATTAGCTCCAGAGAGCATGCTATAAATTGACCACCCAACCAAACACGTCCCCTGTATAGGCTGACAGCACTGCAGTAGTGACCAAAGCACACAAGAACCCAAGCACCTCAGCTCAGCCTCGCAGATACGTTTCAGTTGCGGAGCGAGTGTTCAGGGATTAGGGGGTGTTTGATGCCCCTCTAAAAAAGTTGTTGTCCCATCGAATGTTTGACACACGTATAGAGTATTAAACATAGATTAATTACGAAACTAATTATATAGTTTATGACTAATTTGCGAGACGAATCTTTTAAGCCTAATTAGTCTATAATTTGACAATGTTTTGTTACCAGTAAACATGTGTTAATGACGGCTTAATTAGGCTTAAAAATCGTCTCGTGGAGTATTGACGAATTATGTAATTTTTTTTTTATTAGTATTCGAACATCCTATGCAACATCCTCCCGACACACCTCTAAATTTAAGTAGCCGGATCCAAACACCCCTTAGCACTTGTCGGTTCATCCACTCCAAGCTCTCAGTACTACTGATCCTGACACTGGCCACGGTGGTGGCCGCCGCACGGGCTCAGCTGTCGCCGACGTTCTACGCCTCGTCGTGCCCTGCCGCGCTCGTCACCGTCAAGACCGCCGTGAGGGCTGCCGTGGTGCTGGACCGGCGCATGGGCGGCTCCCTGCTCCGGCTTCACTTCCACGACTGCTTCGTGCAGGCAAGTCCACAGCAGTCGGTCGAGGTGCAAGATTCTTTGTGAACAACAAGTCATGTGACGAGCTGTGTATACCTGCCTGTGTATGTACGTGCGCCAGGGCTGCGACGCGTCCGTTCTGCTGGACGACACGGGCAACTTCACCGGCGAGAAGAGCGCGGGCCCGAACGCGGGGTCGCTCAGGGGGTTCGGCGTCATCGACACCATCAAGGCCCTGCTGGAGGCGCTGTGCCCGCGGACCGTGTCGTGCGCCGACATCCTCGCCGTCGCCGCCCGTGACTCTGTCGTCGCGGTACTAGCGGATGACCATCCCAATCATGAGCCAGTAGCAGTAGTATTCACTGAGGACTCCAGCTCACTTAACAGAAACATTGTCTTGCGATCTTTGGGTGTGCAGCTCGGAGGGCCATCGTGGACGGTGCAGCTCGGCAGGAGGGACTCCACCACGGCGAGCCTCTCCACCGCGAACACCGACCTCCCCTCGCCGGCGTCCAGCCTGAGCACCCTGCTCGCCGCATTCGCCAGGAAAGGCCTGAGCAGCACCGACATGGTTGCTCTGTCTGGTGCGTTCCTCACTGTCACTGATCAATCAATCACGGTTCCATCAGTGATCAGCCAGCACCACAGCGCCTGGGTTCAGTGATGTCCTGCCATGGTCACCGATCGACGTGACCATGCAACTACCAATTCCCATGTGCTTCTACTCTAACAGCGGTGGCAGCTTGGCAGTTAGCACCCGCGCCACCGCCCCCACCGCCACGTACCGCTGGTCACCACTGACACGTGAGCGGTTGCATATGCACGCAGGAGCCCACACGGTGGGGCAGGCGCAGTGCCAGAACTACCAGGCCAGGATCTACAACGACGCCAACATCAACGCGGCCTTCGCGGCGTCGCTGAGGGCCGGCTGCCCGGCGGCCGGCGGGGGCGGCGCGAGCGCGCCGCTGGACGCGTCCACGCCGAACGCGTTCGACAACGCGTACTACGGCGACCTGATCGCGCAGCAGGGGCTGCTGCACTCCGATCAAGAGCTCTTCAACGGCGGCTCCACGGACGGACTAATCAGGAGCTACGCGGCCAGCTCGGCGCGGTTCAGTAGCGACTTCGCCGCAGCCATGGTCAAGATGGGCGGCATTGGTGTCCTAACCGGGAGCAGCGGAGAGGTCCGGCGCAACTGCCGGAGGGTGAACTAGCTAGCTTGCAGAATACTGCATTGCATGCATCGCACTGGTGGAAGAAATTGGGTGTGCTGAGTTATCCAGCCATGGTTTTTTTTTTTAGAACACGACTTCACGCGTATTTCAGGTTATCCAGCCATGGTTAAAGGAAGTTGTAAAGATTTAAGGGCAACGAGTTCATATAGCTTGTACTCCATTTCAAATTATAAGATATTTTGGTCTTTCTAAATGCATAGCTTTTGCTATACACTTAGATATACACTATGTCTAGTACTTAGTGAAAACAATGTATCTAGAAAAAAAACATATTTTAATTTGAAATAAATGGAGTATAATATATCTTAGACCAAACTTATAAAAAATGGTATGGTATGGTTTAATTAAAGTTAAGCTTGTAGAAACCTTGGACCATGCTACAAGGAAGTTTGCCAATAGTGGCAACACTAAGGGGGGCTTTGATTGAGGCCACTCGGTGCTAGCTAATATTAGGTCGTTGATTGTGAGTGCGAGACTTGTTTTAGATGGATATCGAAGTTTGTCGGTCTACTGTACCAATGCGTAGTTTATTTATTGGACTCTTCCTGACCAATTCGGGGCAGCCAAATCACATGTCAGACTTTGGCAAACTAAACTAGTTTCGGCGAGGCATCCACAGGCAGCAACCAAATGTGTCCCAAGGCCCCATTTAACACAAAACTAATGGCTTCTAGTTCACTTGTGACATGTAGGGCTGACGCCAACACTATAGAAGGGAAATGTATTCCTCCATTCACCCACACCCCACCCCACACAAAAAAAAGAAAAGAAAAGTGGGACTAGCTACAAGTGTATAGTAAGTATTTTCCAGAAAACAAACATACGAATAGGGGGGAGGGGGTGATAGTTGACAATTGAGCCTAACTTCTTGGTTAATTTCATTGTGGTGTTGGTGTTACTTACCACTCATGAATCAATGTGTATATATTCCTGAATTATTTCTATAAGAAACGACACTATACATTGAGTGGTAGGTTGTAGACTTTTTTGGGGAATCTCAGTGCTTAGTGTATCAGTCACTGCCTCACTTGGCTAGTAGCTCATATCAACAAAAATTGAATAGAGCATGAAGATGATGCATGAACTTTGTTGTAAAGGGGAGTTTGGTGGTGTTATACACCTTTACTCACTCGGAGTTGGACAACGGCCATTAAATTTGGCAACATGTACAACATGGATACCCCATAACTTATAGGCAATCTGGGTGTAGGAATAAATCGATCCTCATCTTCAACATATGATCTTATTATCACTTCATTTCTTTAACATGTTGAAGGCAAGTTTGAGCACATTCATACTCAACAAATCCCAAACACTTACAATAAATTTATATGCTTGGGGGTAAAATAAGGTTTAAGTTTAGGGTTTTCACCTGAGCCTACAACATTTCATCGTAATAAAAAAATATTTGCATTTCAAAACATAATTAGCTAGTCCATAAAGATTACTGGACCAGAGGGAGGGAGTAAGACATCCCTTCCAGGCCCATGTTTAGTACTAGTAGCAATAGGTATTCTTATTCCATGCATGACTAATAATTGAGTTCAATCATAGTTGTTTCGTAGCCATGAACCGCAACTGTCTAGACATATTTATATTTTATATATAGGGGTATACAACTATACGCACATGATATACACAACCTGAAATATGGCAGTGGTCGAGTTGGTATAATGAGATCCATGCCTACCCGAATACTCTTTGCGAGGGATGCATACCCTAATATCCACCCACGGAAAACTATCAAGAGCTTGAGTAGTTTCAAGCACTAAGTACATTTCACACATATATTTGGTACCATATATAAATGAGGCCACAAAGATTTCACATAGATCACTAGGACGATTTTGCAAGTGCCAACAGAATCGGGTGCAGGGTCCTATTCTATCTTCTAACCATACGTTCATCGCCAAGCCTTACTAGATCAGCCCAATTGAGTCAGATCGGGCACAAAGTTCTGTTCTATCTTCTAACCGTTCGTTCCTCTTGCCAAGCCTTTGGGTGGATACTAGATTAGCCCAAATGAGTTTGAACAAAGGCTTGTCCCATTACAAACACATGTGGTTTGCATGATATTGCTAGGTTGAGTATCTTAGATGAACCGATCCTTATGCGATTGAGGTGGTTATCTTCTACTCACATATAAAGCCCACTTACCAAACATTTTACTCAACACACCCTACCTGCTTTGTGTTAGAAAACACTTCCTAAAGTTCTGTTACTAGTTTTCCAAGCTTTTCTTTTCCCACCTGTTTTCCATGAAAACTCACACTTTAAGCATTTTTTGTATAAGATGATATTTGAGTAAAATGATCTATCCTCTCCAAAGAAATTTTCGTCGTCTTCGAAGAGAAAACAAACTAATTATTTAGCACTAATAATTCTAAAATCATGGACTACTCGAGCATGTTCCAAGGGTGGGTGAAGCTCTAGGTTTTCAAGGGCACGTGCGATTTCAGTTGCTCCAAAATAGTTATGACTATGCGAATTGTCACTAATACAACTATTGGAAAGCCAGAGGGCGCCTAGCTCAAACGGTTAGGTGACCCAGTGGCACTCCTCAGGTCCTGGGTTCGACTCCCCATGGGAGCGGATTTCAGGCTGAGGTTAAAAAAATCCCCTCGCTCGTCCCCATGTGCCAAAGCGCAGTGGAAGGCCCCGCCCGGTTCTCATACGGTGACGGCGCCTCCTGCGTCAAGATGAGGGTGAGGGTTCGGGGGTTTTCTCGATCTATGTGAGAAGATCCTTTTTCTTAATGGAAAACCCGGGGGCCATCATAACCCCCCGCAGGTCGAGTTTTTACAACTATTGGAATAACTTTTATGAAAACATGTAACAATACCACATACCAAGTTGTGTTGGTATTGTTATTTACACTCACAGAATAAAAAAACGGTCAAGGTGGTAGGGACTTGTCTTCGTTGATGTCCTGGTATGTCATAGTTGTAGGTCTTTTACCTAGTGTTACCTTGAAATCCAATGTTCTCCCGAAAACAACAAATTCCCTTGCATATATATATGTATGTATAGCATGTTGTATTAGGGTAACTATCACAAAACAACACATAAATAGAAGAGGATAAAAAGAAGGAACTGGGTTAGAAAGAATGGTTGTAGCAAAAGCTTTTAAAGGGAATGCTATTTCTCCCGTCTCAAGATTTGGATAAAAGTCTCTAGATGGTGTGTGATTATCATTTGGATGAAGCATATTTGTAGGTCATTTTGGGGTATAGAAGGATAGAGGGAGCGCGGGGGTGGGGGGTGGGGTGGGGTTGTGGTTGGGTTGGTTCTAGGTGACGCTCAAAGTTTGCAAAGTCGCATTTGGAAGATGACATGTTTTCATGTAATGTTTTTCAATATTTTTATGAACTTTCAGACTCTTTGGTCAAACTTTCTAAAGTTGCGCTATATATATAAGCTCTAAAACCTTAACCATGTGGTGTGATTTTTTTGTCTCTTCTAGGATATGTGCTATATCTTTAGCACATTTTCTTTCCTAAGCCGCTTAGAATTGCATCTTTTTAGGATGATATTTTCTAAACTCAAATTTAAAATAGGGAAAAATCACCTCAGGTTGTTTGGGTGGCACAAGTGAAAATGAATATTGTAATGATTTTCTCGAGTTAATCAATCCTTTAATTAGCAAGAAAAAAGAGAGGAGAAAGACAACACGAGCAACAATATGAGAAATCGGGTTTTAGGAAAAAAAATTTTTTTTTGTCAAAACCGACTTTTGAGTTTTATTTATAGAAAACAAAATTTGGTTGTTCCGGTTTTATCTCATGTAGCCAAACAATATTTTAGGTAGTTAATCTCTAAATCTAGTTTGTTAACAAAATCTGGTTTTGATAATACTCGAGATCCAAACAACCCCGGAAAGAAAATGCTAGTATAAAGATTGTTTTTTAAAAGAAAAGATTGTGTTTTTGGAATGAAAAGATTGATAACCTGCTAGAGTGCTAGGCCACAAGCGGGATCCACATTCATGCTAGCCGATCGATTTTACCGGGGCCCAGCCCAGAGGGAAGGTCAAACATAATCGCTGCCACACCCACCACCAGCTCGTGTGAAACTACACAACTCACGATTCGGTCCCCACGCCCAAACCCTTTTGGCAGAATGGCAACCCGAAAGCCTACCAGCGGCAGCGAGCAAGATTGATTGCCCTGAAGAAACCGGCGCGTCCGTCCGATCCCTCCCGGGTCTCGAGTACATGCTCCATAGTCCATAGGGTAGCCAGGTAGGGGAACCGATCGAGCCGCGGGGACGACAACTGACCAGCAGCGAGGCAGCCACCCGGCCAGCCCCCTCAATTTCCACGACGCTTCGGCAGCTCGCCGTCCCCTCCTCGTCTCCCTCGCCCCAAATCCCCCTCCCCTCAAACCGCACTCCCCCTCGCTCCAAATTCCCATCCGCCCCCCAAACCCCACTTCACTCAAAACCCTACTGCGCGCGCCCCCGATGGCCGGCGCCACGTCCTCGGAGGAGGCCGTCAAGGTGAGTGACGGGTCCCGTCGTTCACTGTGGGATTTTGGGTGCTCTTTCGCGCAGGGTTGATTTGTTAACGCTTTTCCTGGTGTGCGTCCGTGCGTGCGTCTCGGTGCGCGGGGATGCAGGCGGCGAAGGTGCTGATGGTCGGGGCGGGAGGCATCGGCTGCGAGCTGCTGAAGACGCTCGCGCTCTCCGGATTCAGCGACATACACATCGTGAGTCTCCGCTCCGTTTTTACCTCGAGGCTGGGTCTAGGTTTACTGCCCCGCTTTGCTTGAATCGGGATGTCGCAGGTCCTGTGGATGGCGGTTTGCTGGTGTGTTCTGGGCTTTAGTGGGATCTATGATAGGGATAGCGTTGACCTAGAGTTGAGAAGTGGACCTGTACTGTTCAACCCACGAGCTGGCAATCTGCTTCTATGATGGCGTACTTACTGTAGCTTAGATGACTTCAATGCTCTTGCTTGCAAAGATGCAATTGTGCTTGTG